ATATTATTTTCATACGAGTATTTATCAACATTTGATGACCGTAGTAAAATGATAATTCAAAAAATAGCTATTATTGATTTCTTTGGGAGTCTCATATGCATAAGAGTATTATTTTGAGGGTAAATGTCTTGTGTATTATGGACATTAATTTCAAATGGAGGAAATCCAAAGATATTTACAGCTAGATAGATCTCAACAACATGACTTCTTATATCATTAATCATTATACAAAGAATATGCATTGTTAAAACATTATTAAGAAAAATTATAATGAAAAAAATAGTACATTATTCTTTTGAATACGTTATAAAAATCGTCTCTTTAAAATCTAGCCAGAAAAATTCAATAGAACAAAATTTTGATCAAATGAACAAAAGTATAACAATATTTACTCCCATTCATAATAATTTAACTTGAATTATGTTTCAGGAATATTAAATCTTTTGGGAATAATATCAATAGTCATGCCAGATGAGTTGACTATAATGCATTTCAAATTTCATGCATCGTCAAGATACACATAATATGGACTCGTAATTTCATCTACCATGATCTTTGCCGAATTCACTATATTGAGAGTCGTGCATTACATATTCCGACTTCATTTTTTTTCATTTCGTTTTTGTATAAGTATACATCTTTAGATTTTCGGATGGCACATCCAGAAACTTCAAATTTCTCTAGTAAATTCACTTTTAGGATTGCGTCATTTTTATTTATCCAATCATCACTTTGATTGATATATTTCGATGCATTCGTTTCGATTTCTCATTATATGATGCAGTACATCATGTGCATACGTATTTTCAACAACTTTTCTTTTCGATTCTATATATTTTTCATAACGACATAACTTATAGAAATATCTTAATTTTCAATATTTTGATAACCAAAACCTCTTTTGAGATTTTATAATTTGTTATGTTTAAATACCTATCAAGAGTATATAAACCTTCTTAACGGGATCATCTTTGCTAATTGTTCTATTTCTGTATTATAATTGAATATCATCATGCTTCAAGTGTGTCATAAATTTATCTAATATAATATTAAATTATTATCCTCCACAACGTTAATTCAAGTTAGAACATTTAAAACTGGTGTGCGAGGTATTGTTGATTTTCAAATGCATCTAAATAAATTTTCTTTCGAATTTTTGGTTTGAATTATCTTTTTTCAAGATTTAGATGATAGTGTATTTATATATTATTTTTAGCTTCTTAATTCATTTTCCTAATATTGAGATAATTGTCCAGTCAAATTGACAATCAACAAACCATTTTATAAAATATCACCGATTAGGGCTTGGGATATTATGTAAGGATTCAAGCTACTAATTTATTCTGCATATTTTTTGCTCTCTATCTCAATGTATTGTCATGGATCAATTTTATATATACTGCATTATCAAAATAATTAAATGGAGAAATTAGAATTTAACCATAATCCAATTATAATAGGGAGAACTATGATATTGACATGATGCGTAATATCATTCCCTAAACAGAAATGGAAAGTACTTTGTTTTCAACTAAAATAATTGGAGGAATTTAACAAGTAATAGTATTAAACTATTTATCGACATTCCAACCAACACTTACTAAAAGGTTAAGATTTAGGACCATTAACATTGACAAGACACATCGTCCTGACTATATAATATGAAAATTATTCTCATAATTTAGAATTGAGCAGTAATTTTATCACAAACTTTGGATTACGAACACAATACAATCATTTAGTAGATGTATCAAATCTATTAAATACAAATAATATTTAAATGATCAACGTAAAGGATGATGGAGTCTTATCTATCACTTTAATTAATATTAAAAAAATATAAGGAATTTAGTTCCTATTTAATTAGCGATGGTTAATGACTAATAATAGAGAACAAATATCATAATAATTCTTTGAATTTAAGAATCTTCTTGTTATTCGTTAAATGTTCATTTGAATTTTTAATTTCTCATCATTATTGTTCCAATAATAGTCTAACTGGGCTTGCTAAATAATATTTTCAAGAGTTATCAAACTTTCGGTTCATCACAATATTTATCAAACTTAAAGCTTGTTTGTTTCTATTTGTTTAGTGGATTTTAAGCAAAAAAATGAGCTGTCCGTCCCGAACAGATTCTGAGTATAGTATTCCAATTAAAAAACACTATAAAACTCTTATAGGTTTATCTTTTATTTAGTTGAGAACAAATTATTAGCAACAGTAAATTTATCCCTTCATATCATACAACATTGACTCATATGGAGTATGAAAAATAATATTTTTCAAAAATATTGATATAAATAAGCTATAATTTCTTTATATGCAATTTAATTAATTGAAATTTTCCAGAATCAATAAAATATTTATATTAAAAAGTCTAAATTGTGATTCTTCAAAAATAACCATATAATATTCTTCACAAAGATTAATAAATATAAAATTATGCTTCTTTCAGAGCAATATAATATTCTTTAAGAGTATTGAAGAATATTGATTTGTATTAACTGATTTAAACAAATCTACAACATTCTTCTGAAATATTTAAATGTCTGAATTATATTTCGTTTTAGAATAACAATAATATCATGCTCTTCAAGTGTACATATTATTGTTTAGAATAATAAATTATGTAACAATTTACTCTTCAAGACTAGAAACATAATTTACGTTAGATTTTATGTTAATATGTTCTTCGAGAACAAGTAAAATCTAACTAGAATATTAATGTAAATTATAATGAACTATTTTTCAGAGTATGTTATATTTTAATATTGCTTATTCAAAAGTAATATGTCAATATTCTTCTAAAATATTGAACATTATCATTTATGTTCTCTGGCGACAAATAATATTCTTCTAAAATATTAACTATAATATTGTGCTAGTTAAAAAAAAACAACATGATGTATTATCAATTTAAATTTTATAAAGAAACATATAAAAATATTTAATAAATTTAAAAATATTAATTATCTTACAAACAGTATGTGATATAAAAATTAATTACAAAATATGTATTAAGAAAAAAATCTTCATATATAGAAGTTAACATAATTGACTAAATTTTTTACCAATATGTAAAAGATAACAAATACTTGAATTAATTTCATTTCGTTATTGATTAAATATAATCTTTACAAATATAACAAATCGGCAAAAAATGGAATCATTATGATTATGGCAATTGTAATTTGTGACAGTGGGAAAAGAAGCACAACTCGGTAAATCATTATGGTCATCATGCACGTAAATCAATATAATTTATAAAAATATTTAATCTGTATATGAATGACCATTATGAGTGCAAAATTTATTTCAACAAAATGGTGATTACCATATGAATTGACAGAATGTTGATTACATAATGTAATTATATTTATACGTTACCAAATTTATTTTGGTACCTGTGATATCTTTATAAAAATTATTATTACCTTCATTAGACTTTGAATAATTAAGCTTTTGTGCTGAGAACCTGTTAAAATAATATATATATATATATATATATATAGAGAGAGAGAGAGAGAGAGAGAGAGAAAACAAATAAGTAAATAGAATCGTGTGTATTATATTCAGAACTAAAGTCCCATATTGATATGGAAGAATAAGGGAGCCAAGATGTAGGGGTATAATTGTCATTCAGTAATAATCATATTATTTACAACAAACACAAACGTTTTTCAATTTATATGATTAAGTTAATATATATTCGACAGGGAAATTATTCAAACAAAAACCTATAGAAATTAATGACCATGTATAATGTCTCTACTTTTATGATATTAAAGTTTGTAATATTGACAGTGGTGTGCAAATAATTCATAAATTTTTAACATTTTTCAAAGTTGATGGAGATGTCCAATAATGCAAAAATAGTAAAGAAAACCTATATGAATGTTCAAAAAATTTATATATGTCTATGAGAGACATTTTGTGATATTGAAGTTTGTGATACTCCAACTTAATTTCATCAAGATAAAGTCACTTAATTTTCGAATTTCTTTTAATCAACTTACTCTGTCAACTGTTACGTCAACGTTTTGTTTTGTGAGGAGTAAGTTGTGATTTTTTTATTTTTTTCCCCTCTCTTTAACAAAATGTAGACATTTTTTATTATGAAATACCGTCACAAACAACTAACATGATAAGAAGAGGTAACCAATTAGTCCAACCGTCACAAACAACTAACACAATAAAAAGAGGTAGCCAATTAGTCCAAAATATGAACTCCAAAATTAAATACACTTTGCGATGCTGATTGTGAGCCACTCTATTCCCTTCGTAGTGAATAAAGTGACAAGTATCACTGCTAACTTCCTTGATAAGTCGGTGAATTTGAGTAGAGTGATTTAATAGAATATATATGAAAATAATTTTGTCCTCTCGACATTTTATCACCACTAAACGTGAAGGACTAGCTCCACCATAAATGACATGTATATAAATATTGAACGAATTCTTTTAATCAGAATTTCATTTGTCAAGTCATGATTTCAGTCAATTTTGATAATGATTACAAATAAAATAGTCAAAGAAAAATAGAAAAATTGAGCGATCAAATTAAAGTTAGACAACTTCAATGAAACAATACTAAACCTACGTTTGATCTTCAGTTTCTAAAACTTATTTAAAAATAAAAAAATAAAAAAATCATTTTTTATTATACATCTCATGAACTCACAAATTTTATTAATTTTTCAACTTACATTTCGTTATTTTTTAATAAAAATATAATAAAAAATATGATATTTATTTATTTTTATCTAACTCAAATAGAAATTAAGGTGGGTGATGTCGAATAAATTTTCGGAATTTGGGTTGAGAAGCCATAAAGCAATTTAAGCAAAATGAGCTGCATCAAAATCGTCACCAAATAGACACCTCATCTCTAGTGTTCCCTTTAAAAACGCTAGAAACCATCCGATTGAGAGAAATTAAAGGCTTCAAAGTTATAGGAGAAAGCATCCATAGGAATCCATTTTCTAATCCCCTGAATCATAATCATCATCATCTTCTTTGAAATCTCAATAGAGGAAAATGAAAAATTCTAAAATCAGATAGATACCCATTTCAAGACTCTTTGTTTATAGTTTTTGTCACTTTTTTCTCCATTTTCTTTTCTTTTGTTTTTGTTTTTTTCTTTTTTGGGAAGTTTTTTCTGCAAAAAACTTGTGAGATGTCATCCGGGTTCTGAGAAATCTTGGGCCTCTGTTACATGTAAACTTTGTTTCTGAATTTTTGTCACTCGATCTGTCAATGATCATAATGTACAGATTCAAGAACTTACAAGTTTTGATTTTGACAGTTATTGTATAACTCCAGTTGAATTTTATTGTGTATTTATTGAATTTTACTTGTTTAATATCCTTGTACATGTGGGATGTTAAATACTTAATTTTTATGGTCAATTGATATTAAAAAAAAAAAAAAATCAATTGTTCATGTTATCTTTGTTCTGGGTTGTTTCTGATTTTTACTCTTCGATGGTTCATGCCTCAATTTCATATTAACTTTGGTGATGTTTTTGCTTGATCATGTACGGAAGTGGAATTTTGCCTCTTGAGTGCTAAAATTCCTTTTCCTTTTGGGATTCTTTGTGTATGGCGCATCATATTGCTTAGTTATGTTTTCGAGTTCCCGGGTGCTAGAGATTGCTTGAATTATGGTTTGATGCGATAGTGAATTTCATTTTCCATTTATATCTGTCTTTCGTTACACTGGTTGATTCCGGACTGCTATTTTATTGATTTGGTGCCTTTTTCCATTAACATCTCGACCATTTTCGCTTGGAGATTGATTGATTTTGACGCTTCCAACTTAATGTGCTATGAATTTGTTTAACTTGATATGGTTCGATTAGATGGAAAAAATTGTTTTCATTTCATCTTTTGTCTTTATATGATATCGTCTGATCCTCACTTCTATTTTAGTTCAACCGGTTAGCTGTTGTGGCGATTTGATTTTGCAAACTATTGCATAATTTCATTCAGTTTGTTGTTTTTAATATGTGTTTGATATTTTTTATCTGGTGTTTGCTTGCAGGTTTAATTCCTGAAAGTTTTTTAATCAAATAGTTGTTAAAGGTAAATACTTGCGTTCTTGATATTGAAAATCAGGGTTTATTGGAATATAATGATATAGTTGCTATGGAATGAAATGGAGTAACGCATAGGCGTTTTTATGATTTTCAGAGATTAAAATCTTCGCCTGTGCCAAGTTAGGGCACTGCAGAGTTAAGCAGTGTCCATGGATGCCACTCCTAGTGGAAAGTCTAGTGTTCAATACCAGAAAATTCCCGAGCAAACAATTACTACTATTGTTACCTCTCCCATAGAAACATTTCAGAGGCAGCAACGGCATTGCTCCGGAAATGCTAGCCCTGGGGAATTCCCATTATCAGCTAATCCTTCTATTGTTCTTCATGTCCTTACTGCATGTAATTTGGATCCGCAGGATCTTGCAAAACTTGAGGCAAGTGTATTTTATCTTAGGATTCTGCTAATGAACCTTTTATTTGAATTAGAATTGATGATGCTGCTCATTTGAATCATAATCATGTGGTGCAGGTTACATGCTTGTTCTTTAGGCGGCCTGCACACTTTGCCCCCGAATGCGAGCTCTCATTATCGGAACTGGCGGCCCTTGATATGTGCCGAATGAGAGCCATATTTAAGCCAATGACTGATAAACAAAGGCAAGAACTGAAGCAAATGTGCGGAGGCTCGTGGAAACTTGTCTTAAGATTCCTGCTGGCTGGAGAAGCATGTACCCGGAGGGAAAAGTCGCAGGCAATAGCCGGTCCAGGTCACAGTATTGCTGTGACTTCTAAAGGGGCTGTATACTCATTCGGCTCTAACAACACAGGACAACTTGGACATGGAACCACAGATGAGGAGTCCAGGCCTCGCTTAATTAGGTTGCTAATTTATCTTAATGTAGTAAATATGACTCCGTGAGAGCAAGAAATGAGGCAGAATTTAATAGAATTTCTTCAATTGTAGATCACTGCAAGGCATTCGTATTATTCAAGCATCAGCAGGGGCCGGCCAAACAATGCTGATAAGTGATACAGGAAAGGTCTATGCCTTTGGGAAAAATTCCTTTGGGGACGCAGAATTTGGGCCTCTAGGAAATAAATTTGTAACTATTCCTCAGCTAGTTGAATCTTTAAAAGACATTTTCGTCGTGCAAGCTGCTATTGGAAATTTCTTCACAGCTGTATTATCGAGAGAAGGGAGGGTTTACACATTCTCTTGGGGAATTGAAAGCAAACTTGGCCACCAAACTGAAGCGAATGATCTTCAGCCTCGTCCACTGTTGGGGCCACTTGAAAATATAAGAGTTGTTCAAATTGCTGCTGGATATTGCTACCTTCTTGCTTTGGCTTGTCAACCTAGCGGCATGTGAGTTCCCTCCTGGTTTTATTTATTTGTGAAGCAGTGTTCATATTGGATTTTTAATCTAATTCTGAAATGGTGTTAATAGCTGTAAATGCAAGTGATATGCATAGATGTTACTGCTTGACAATGCACGTTTTTTCATCTTCAACATGCACCCTGTTTTCCAAAATGGATATGATTAAATAGTCTAATAATTCATTACCAAAATTTATCTGTTTCTATATGCTTTCTAGCATTTTTACATTGTTCTTGATGGCTAATTAATAATATTCCAGTTCAGTTACCATGTATTGGTGCACGTGCATTATCGCGATCTCTTTCAATTATTACTCAAACGTTCTTTCGTTTTCTTCTGGTGATATATCAGGTCAGTATACTCTGTTGGTTGTGGATTGGGCGGAAAGCTTGGACACGGCACAAGAAATGATGAGAAGCAACCAAGATTAATTGAGCAGTTCCAGTCTCTGAATCTTCAACCTGTTGTGGTTGCAGCTGGTGCTTGGCATGCTGCAGTCGTGGGAAAGGATGGACGGGTTTGCACATGGGGCTGGGGGCGTTATGGATGCTTGGGCCATGGGAACGAAGAATCGGAATCCGTTCCAAAGACGGTTGAAGCGCTGAGCAATGTCAAAGCTGTTCATGTTGCTACGGGGGACTATACAACTTTCGTGGTGTCAGACAATGGCGATGTGTATTCTTTTGGTTGTGGGGAATCTTCCAGTCTTGGACATAACACTGTGGCTGAAGATGAACAGGTCTGTGACGGACTTTTTTCAACTAGTTAATACTATCTTATGAATTTGTGCCTCCATAAGTTGATATTTTACCTTGCCTTTTACTTCTTTGCAATATATTTTGCTCTAATTTTTCTTTTCACTTTATTGAGCTCCTCAATGTTGGTTATGATCTTAGGGTAATGGTTAAGTGAGTGGATAAGGTAAGAGAGGGAGAAATTTAGCGCCGATTGAGGATAAATTAACAATGCACAACATAAGTGGTTGGGTTATGTTTTTGCGATGATCTAACAAGTTCTTGAGTCACTAGAGAAATATAATTTCCCGGGAGGGAAGGGTAGAGCAAAAGTTAAAATGGCCGGTAATAGTGGTTAAAGATCTAGTTGCTTTAGTTATCTCAGAAGATCTAATAATGAATAATGAATAGAAAGGAATGGTGCAGAGGGATTCATGTGGCCATTGAAGTTATTGGAAATAAGACTTAGTTTGTTGTTTTGAAATTTCTTGGAAAAAATTCATCTATACTTTTTTTATTCCCATATAATGTTATTTTCCTGTTAGGTGCAAGTCTGAGCCCTTTTTGATTTGTGATATCGTTGTGTCAATTTCAGGAAAATAGGCAAGTAAATGTCTTGAGCCCCAAGCTAGTAACGTCACTAAAGCAAGTGAATGAAAGGGTTGTTCAAATAAGCCTCACGAATTCCATTTATTGGAATGCGCACACTTTTGCGCTCACAGAATCCGGTAAGCTATATGCATTTGGTGCAGGCGACAAAGGACAGTTAGGCGTCGAGCTTGTGGCAAATCAAACCGAAAGGCCAAACCCTGAAAAGGTCGAGATTGATCTCAGTTAACTTTGTCTCTGGATAAAACTCCTGCTCTTTTCTGCACAATTTGCTCCTCTTAATCCATGGTTTTATGACTGATCATACATTTGCATTTTCTGTTGATATTTCTGTGTTTATTCTGTAAATAGTAACAAATGATTGTGAAGAAGGTAGGATAGGATGCACAATTAACCTATCAGAAATTTGTTGGTTTCTTCGCCTCAATCCGTTTATGGCCTTTACATTTATCAAGTTATTTTATAATTTGCATTGATTGAGTCGTATTGCTTTGAATCTTCTGGTATATATAGTAGCGTACCAAATGAAGTAATAAAAAAGGATTCGTATACTCGACTCTAAATTTATTAGAAGCAAGACTTCGTCTGATCTAGTTGGAGTTGTACTTGTTTCTACTTTTCCCAAGGATTTGCGTCGATATTTTTGTCTTAGTGGAAGAACTTTTAAGATACCGTAGAAGTAATGTGTTAGGTGTTGTGCCTATTCGAGTAGCTATAAATGCATGTCTACAAGCCCGTGTCTATAAAAGCTTCCTACAAGCTCGTAATGAAGGACGTGGACATGATGTTGCTATTGAGAGTAAATAAACGACGTTGCGTTTATAAGTGCTAGTATTTTAAGGACATTAAGTCCATTTCTTGTTCGTACTTCTTCATCAATCTACAGAAAACAGAGTACCGAGTTGTCTCAGTTCCATTCAGGTGATAATAGAGTCGTACATCTTTCTTAAATCTTGAAGGATCATATTATTAAGAACTAGCGCGTCCACCACTTTAGGGACCATTGTCTTAGGTGGCACAATGGACATTGAGAACCAACCCTTGATTTTTTTCGAGGCCATTGAAACTAATTGAGACTGATTATAATTCACACCCTTCACACATTGGAGATTCATATTGTACACTCACATAATTGTATTCATTGAGATATAAAAAGAGATCGACCCTAAGTTGATCACCAAACACAAACAGTCTTTAATTTATTTGAGATTTTTCTATTTGGTTTTGTTCAAGGTTAACTAGAGACTTGCTTTTTCGACTCTCATAGAAATGGATATTTCTACTACATCTATGTATTTCTCAATTAAGAGTTGAATAACACTTTAATTATCAAATTAATCGAGATTATTTCTCTCTCACTTAACTAAGAAAGCAACATATTTTTCTTTTGATTTAATTGATTTGAAAAACTCTTTTACACCAAATTAAGTACATTGAATCCCTGTCAAAGATTTGTCGAAGGTAATGTCAAATTCATTGTTCTTGAACTTGATGTACTATCATTCTTGAATAAAGAAACAAAATATCTTTCTCGAATTTGGTCGAGTATAATCTATATGAATTTTGATAGCTTGAATATTTAAATAAATAAATAAATAAATTTGTAATTTATAATTTGGACAGCTAACAAATCTTAAAAATAATCAATCAAGGGATTAGCTTAAAGGAATCTCAAGAAAAGTAATTACCAGTTATGAAAAAGATAATACGAATATTTAATTTAATATAGTTTGATTATAGGATTTAGTAGAATTTTCCTTTGACATCATAGTAAATTTTCTTGAATTTAATTTTTTGTAGTTGAGTACCGAAGATCTTCTTATGGTCTGACTTAGTTAATCAATAGTAAATTGAGTTTTTAATTAAAAATTTCTGTCAAAAAATAATTTTTGGATACAAATTGTTTATATTTAATTCCTTTTCAACTCTTGAATCAATGATACACAAGTTTCTATAAGTGGTCCTAATATTCTTTGAATATTTTAGGTAGGAAAAATATTCGAAGCATTCCTTTTTGTATGTTCACATTATTGTAATACTCAACTTATCTTGATAAGTACTTTATTTACCACTTATTAACTTATTCCAATTGAGCCGCCAAAAAGCTACTATCTATATAGGGTAAATTACAGAAGAAGTCCCCAACCTTGACCATCATTTAAATCTTATTCCCAACCTTTTATTTGTAATATTTTTATCCATAACCTATAGGGGTGAACACGTTTTGGTCTGGACGATTTGTGAGAAATTGTTGAACCAAACAACTTAAAGTTGTTTGAAATTTCTGTCAAACCAAATCAAACTACTTCAATTTCTAAACCAAATCAATCCAAAACACAATTTTCAGTTTGGTTATGTTTAAAACCATGATTTAACCAAAAAAAAAAAAAAATGTACATCGAACAAGTTAAATCATAAATAAGGATATCACAAATATATCCTTATAACGAATAGTTAGTGTTATAACGAATATTATAAACAAAAGTTCTACATAATAATTCAATGCAGTGAAAAAAAAAAATTCTAACCTCTTAATCAATACTAATCAGCGCAACATCTCCAATGGTAATACATGATTCAATCTCTACATGAAAATAAGGATATAACAAATATATTTATTTATTACAATTAAATGGTGTAAAAAAGCTATAAAATAAATGAATAGAAAGATCAAACACGATAATACTTTCTATAGATTAGATACTCAAGCTATAATTCCAAATGTAGAAAATCATTGCCTTGACCCTATAAAATTAAACCTCATTATATAGTAAAGGTAAAATTAAAATTAAATCGCATAGCCAAGTGGCTCTCTCCTTACACCGGAACCACTCTAGGAGTAATTGGTGAGGAACTGAAGGATTTGATTACTAGTGAGACAAGTTCTTGTGGTGAATTTGAGTTTATTTTCGTGGAATAATGTTCGCTTAACAAAATTGACAACAATGGCACTAACAATGATGAATTGGAAGTATTCTAATTAGTTATCTAAATCAATACATTTCTTGAAAACCTAGAATAGCAGCAAAACCCTTTTTTTTTTTTTTTCATTATTCAAATCAATATAAAAAGAAATTAAGAAAATACATAGAAAATAAACAAACAACACAACCTACATGAACATGAATTAAAATATAGATTCGATATATAGAAATACTAACCCTGCTATGTGTACAAAGGAGGGGTTCCAGAACACATACAACAGGAGGGGGCAATTTATTATTATTATTATTTATTTTTTTGCACTATTTTATATACATGGGATTCACCCTCATGTGAGTGTTCTGTATTTGTTTATGTGAAACTATAAAAATAGAGATATTAGAAATTCGCATACCTTTGTTCTTAGAGTTTGAAAGGGGGAGAAATATCCCAGAAGTTACAAAAAGATTGAAAGTATGACGTATTAAATATTTAAGGGTAGGATTTAATAAATTGTATAGTTGAGATGGGTATTATCTTATTAATGGCCTATTTGGGAGCGATTTTTCACCTAAAAAATTGATTTTTTGACCGTTATTTCACTATTTTAGCCGTCATATTTGACTTCATCTCTCACAGGTGGACCCCATTTTTCTCCTAATGGTCAAAAAATTAATTTTCAAAATTACTCCCAAACAGGCGATAAGTATTTAGTTGGGTATTGAATTTATTTGGATTGTGTCTAATATGAATCTCTTTTTAATCAGGATGCAATTGGATTTACTTGAATTTAATAAAATTAAAATTAAAATAGATTTTTTTATTTTTTATTTTTCTGTTATGAACAGTTTGACGGTTTGAAACGATTTGTAAAAATTAAGACTTAAACCAGACCAATTCAAACCATTTTGGTTCGATTCAAAATCAAAATGTTGACGGATCCACGTAGATCCAAAATCAATGGTTTAAAAAAAAGGGAATCAGTTCAGTTTGACAATTTTGTTGTTCAGTTGTAATAACCTTTGAGTAATACGCAGGAATGTCCTAAAGGACAATTTTACCCTTCTCTTTAATTAATAAGTTAAAATCAAGTTGAAAGAAAAAATTTGAGTACCCAAAAATATAAAATACAAGAATGAAAATGTAAAGAAGGAAAAAGATGGAGTTACAGGGCCTGGTTCACAGGCTCCTAATAAATGAGAGAGGAGGTGGGGGTAGGCCCCACCCTTTTTTTAAAAATTACTATAGAACTCGACCCCCTACAGTGAGGGGGATTGTACAACCCCTGTGAACCGAGCTCTTATACATGGAGCTCGGTCCTATAAAGAAACAAAATATGGCAAGAAAAGTCGAAAGCTGTCCAAAGTAGGAATTGATGAGTTTCTATAAAATCTGAGAATATTCTTACGGTATGTTTGGCAAGTGCTTGTAAATATTTTCATAAATGCTTGCTATAAATTAAATCACTTTCATCCATGTATTTCTCGAGTTCCTTATGAACCCCACTTATTTATCGCTCATTTTATTTGTTTATAAACACTTGTCAAACATATGCTTAGTTCATATTCATATTTTGCATGGAAAATCAAGTGAATTGTGCTTTCGAATGACTCAAAAACGTGGAGAAATGAGGAAGAACCTAGATAATCAAGTTTTGATTGGGAAGCTCGTCAAGAAGATATTCTGGTCACTTTCAATTGTTAAATGCGATATAGATTATATGATTGGATTTTTCTCATCGAAAAGAATATTCTAAGGTATGATATGTCCAACGAATGATCGTTGGTCAATGGCTATGGCTTGTCTCCTCTAGTTCCAATGTAGCAATTGATTGGAGTGGGTGGGAATGAGTCGGGGTAAAAATAATGAAAGATGAGTTTCATTTTATTTATATTTTTCATTCTTGTATTTTACCTTTTGTTGATTCAAAGACAATGGTAGAATTGTCATTTTACAAATATTTTATCTTGCAAATTAAAGGGAATGACAACATTGTCCATTAGGATGAACCCACTAATTATTCAAAGGTTCGGATAAAAATTTTAAAGATAAAAGTTGAGGGCAAGTTTGCTAAGAGAGTCAAAGGTTGGGACCATTCGCCGTAAATTACCCATCTATACACCCTCTCTATCCTACGCTACGGATGGGTGTGTACACCGTACCGTTATTTGAAAAGTCAAAACGTACAAGTTACGCAAAGTACAAGTCAAATCTAAAGAAATGAATGTGAACGAAAATTATATACCATCATTGAGTAACATGGCAATAATCATTCAATGGCTACAAATGATTGCACATGTGCTTAACATCCAACCTAAGACTTTTGTAGAAATAAGAATGTTGTAAAATAATGATCATTTAAACTAATGATGTACATTTTCTTGATGATATTATGTTAAATGTATGGAATTTATTTCGTGACACGTGATTGAAAATGATCAACTTTTCCAAGATGCTATCAAATGTGTAAATATTGGGTTTTAGGGATCTTGAATAATAATAGTATGTCGAGAAACAATTTTATGCTCTAAT